CCTTTCTAATCGTGGTTATACCCCCTAATTTTTCCTAGCCAGCAAAGAGCTCCAAGATGCTCCAAGGCATGCATCCAGGGTCGAGGTGCTTTGCTCAATGCCCAGTCAGATGCCCAGTTTTCCAAACTCCAAGTACAATCGAAAGTAGATACGTTCAGGTGGGCTCATCTGCTCGACACAGCCTTAGCGAATCTCAGCGACAACCTGTGCTTGCATGTCTGGTAAGCGGAAGCAGAGAAAGTGCTGGGCAGAGCGCTGGGCCTTTCAAGTTAGGGTATTTGCTGTGCCAAGTGCTTGGAGGAAGTTGCCAGCCCATGAACAGGAGCGCTTTCTTCACGCTGAAGACGAAGAAGCCAAGCTGGATGGCACCTTTCACAGTAAGGTGCAACCAATCCCTGCTGCTTCATCAAGATAGGAGAACCCCTGCAAGGTTCAGGAACTTTTTCATCGAGAGGTGGCACTGCACTTCGAGTATGAGGCGCTTCGAACGGTGCCTATGCGAACATGCAAGTTTCTATCACATGCCTTGAGGCTGCTGAGCGTTGTCTTCACTTCCTGCGCAGTGGGAGGCCTGAACATGGCACTGAGCTGCCACGTCCGCAGAATTCAGCCCCATACTTGCAGAGAAGGCGCCTGCCTCTGCAGGACACAGCCATCACTGATCTTCTTGGAAGTCATTAGATGCCTGGCGGAGAACCTGGAGGCAACAAGACAGCACAAATCATGTCGGCCCATCTGTGCCATGGTGCAGGATTACCAAAGCCGCTCGGAGGTGCTTCGGTTTTGATATTCCTTGTTCTAACTCGGATGGCACATGTGATGCTCCAGGCGCGCGAGCTTGCATGGGATGCTGGGCGACAAATGCTAGTTCCTCTGGACCCTCATCTACGACTGCGGCTGCAGAATGAGGTCTGGATCCTCGTAGCCGTATCACACGGCGCTCTAAGAGGCTAACTCCTGTATGACTCGGCTCGGGTTGGGGTGTTGTCAGGTCCTTGAAGCAATGCAGTTGGCCCCTTACATGGGATGAACTTTTGCAGGTTTCGCTTGTGGCCCTAGCATGCAGCCTTCAATGTGAGTGCCATCATCTCGCAAGACACCCAGGCTTCGATTGCCTCAAGCACTGTGCACTGCTGCCATTGCTGCTGCAGACTGGCCGCAGAGTGAGGCCAGTGAGGCCTGACAGAGAAGCAAGGCTTTCTCAGTCGTGTGATCACAGGAAAGCTTGATGGAGAAGACGTATGCGACCTACTGGAAGACTCGTACAAGACATGGTCTTTTACATGGCCTGACATGTGTGAAGCTGCTCGGGAGCTGTGCATTTGAGGGCGCATCTGCTCAATGACTGCAGCAAATTGCTGGCTGCAGCCCCAGAGACGTTTGCATGAAGCCAGTTTGTGTTGCCTGTAGACAACGCCTTCAGCAAGGGCTTAGACGATGTCCAGTTGGTGGCAAGTCACGCCTCAGGAGAGGAAGACGCAAGTGACTCAGGCTGGGCATTTGCAGCTTCACTTTCCCTAATCTCCTTAGTGCTAGACGGCTCATCCCCAATCAGCTTCGGAGCCCTGCAATCCCATGCAACCCCAAATTGGCCCCAGAGTTTTGGCGTGCCAGCTCAAACTTCCGATGAGGAGATAGTCCTCACAGCCGGTAGGTGTCAGCAGGCCCTGTGCAGCAGGGTTTTCACAATACTAGCACGTGGCTCTTCTCAGCTTCCTCTTGCCCCGCCAGCACTACAATCACTGCCTGCCCCTCTTCGTGCGCAGTGTTACGGCCCCTTGCTTTGCACGCACGCATAGAGTGGTGCTGGACGCAGGCCAACTATGCTGGGTGGCGGAGTTCTCCTGCTTACGGCCCATGCGTGTAGGGTGCGTGACGGGGTTGACGAACCTGCGTCACTTTTCGGGTGGCGGACGCGGTAGTCTTGCAGGCCGTAAGTCTTAGTCCTAGCCGTCCTAGCCTCAGCCAATGCGCTAGGCTTCACAATAGTTGCCGTGATCCTGAATCCATCATGCCAAGCAGCAGATGACAAAACGCGGCAACCAGAGGGACCGGAAAGCACAGGTCCATACAGCAAAGCAACTTCACCATCTGCTTTGGGTCAAACCTCGGGCTCTAACCGGGAGTGGATGTGGCGCATCCTAACAGATCCCAACCTCCCACATGGTTTCCTGAAGTTTGCGGTGGGCAACTGAAGATCTATATAAATCCTAAATCGTTTGAACTTTCTCCTGTTGAGAATACTGATGTTTTCTTTCATGTCTCCTCTCGGATCCTCTCGGCCTCGTAAACAGCGCGCAGTGACACAGTCAGCACCGGCAAAAATTAATGACATTTGGCAAACATCTGCTGTCACATCTGTTATTGCCAATAGCTGAAGGCAACGGCAAGTTGCGTTTGCTCGTGTGCTCTATTACGGGGGCACTGAAAACTAATTCAAAGAGGCCCAAGAGGCTGGAGAGGGGAGCTATGCTCACCTGGAGAGTGAGGGTGGAAGCAAACTTCTAATGCCCACGCTCCCAAGAGGAGGGCAGGAGAGGACCAAGTATAGCCTCCTGGGCCATGAACACATTTTTGGACCATCGGATCTGATATTAGCGAGATTTGTTGGAGCTCCCGGGGGCCTGCCCCCCACCGCCGAAATGTTTGATATATCAGCCGACCCACGCCCCGGCTGCCTTGACGCAACAGGATCAGCATCTCTGTACGGGCGGGCGGAAAGCACATAGTGACCTTGCACTGTGCCCACTCATTGTCAGAGTTTCTGGCAAAGCCGTCTCTAATATGGACATCAAGAAGGAAGTGAACAATCCCGGACAGGAAGGCGGAAAGAGCTGGGGGAAGTCTGGACACGCTCTTGCACACTAAGTAGTCAGTCACAGCAACGTGATCCATGAGCCCAACAAGACCTTGACGGTGGGCCAGCGATCATTTAACTGCTACCGCGAGACCGCCTCAGCAAAGGCTGTCGAGGCCTAGAAACTTAAAACAAACTAAATCCGAGCCCACTCCCCCGGACTCGTGCGCGCTGGGAGGGGGTAGGGGGAGGGTTAATTTACGCTCCAGAGACTCCTTTGGATCAAAAGGCCACTGCATGCTTACACCAACCAAGTTTCACAACCTGCACCACCATCGCCCCCCTTCCGACCCCCCCAACCCCCCCAACCCCCGCAACCCCCGCAACCCCCCCTGCGGGGGGGGGGTTAACTTACTCACCTCGTCTCCGGACCTGGATCTAAACGCCCCACGCCTCCGGCCTCGGTGGATACGGCGCCTTGTCTTGGCCATCATCCTTATCAACAGCACCGTTTTTCATTTTCAGCAATGAACAAGCCCGCCATGATCAAGATTGCCAAGCAAGCGTAGGGCTGTGGGAGACTGCGTGTCCATTGTTTCGACAAAGCAGAGCAAGGTTTGGGATGTTTTCAAAAGAGTTCACAGAGTTGAGGAGTTCACAGCTTGTGAAGGACCACCACGAGCGAGCTGCAGAGCTCAGAAGAGAGGTGATGCTCTTCGAGGCCCGACCACAACATGCGACATGCGGTATTGACAGGCTTTCGGTTCTTTCCGACCCTCAGCACACAAATGCAGTGGGGCATGAGACTGCCGTTGGACTTTTTGACCTGTCAGAAGGTTGATCAATCGACTAAATCAGGTGACATGTCCCGTTGCTTGAGCCCCGTGAGGCAGTTGAGTACTTGGAGCTGAATGCTACGGAGGCAACACCTACACAGGCTAGAAACATGATATTATGAAATGGCGAATCTGACCTGTGATTATCCGTGACTTTGGTGAGGTATCCTCTACGTTGCACATGCTCGAGGCGGGTTGCTCAGGTGCAGTAGGCGAGGCATGGAGATGCCTGAGAGTGGCAGAAGCAAGGTGGCCACTACCGTGGCACCGGTTGGGACCTGATCGGCCGCGGCATTCGTGACGTCTGCTTGATTGTCCTATCTTCCAGGCTGATGCCTTGGAGCGCTTGCGGCATCGTCTTCAAAGGCAGAGCAGACTTGTGAGTCAGCCTGCAAATTGACGTGCGCAGTTTGGTTGCAAGGCTGACCGCCCGGGTCTCGCCGAAGGCAGAGACCTTTGAAAGCGAAGCCTTGCAAAAATGCAGCATGCCGACCTGCATGGATTCCCCTTGACTGGGGCGAGACGCTGACACGCACCGTTTGTTGCCCAATCCTTCAATCTTGAAAGTTTCGCCGTCACTGTCCAATGCAAGTATACAGTATAGAGGTCCTGCGTCTGATGAACGGAAGTTTGAGAGACACAACCGTTGGAAGCATCTAATGCAGCGGAAGGTGAATGTCTGGCATGTGACGCACGTCGCATTGATGTCGCCATTTGTTGCCTTCAAGCTGAGGGGGGATGGGTCATGAGGAATTGCCATCGAAGCCTGACCGTTCAGTGCACCAGCTCATGTTTCCTCACAAAAGGGTGCGAGCTTTTTCAGGCTTGGCAAGAGAACGTCTTATACTAAAGCTAGTTTGACAGGGATCAGAATCCTGGCATGTTTATCGTGGCTTCAAGGGTCTCTCATTTGACTATTCTCGGAGAATGGCGGGCTGACGTGCTGACGTCTTTGCAGATAATGCGCCAGGCAATGGCCCTGGCACCTGCTCAAATTCCTACGCTTCCCGCTTTGATCCATTTGGATTTTGTGGATCAAAGGCTACGCAGGAAGACCGTCTTAAAGCGTTGGCTGAGCAGGACCTTGCACCTAAATCGCCGCATGAGCATGCAGGACGTGACATACAAACCCTCTCAGGATCCTAGCTACCTGCGACGTGGGCGACGAGCACAGGAGCTGCTGAGGTTAAAAGCCCAGCTAAGCAGCTAGAGTCAAATGCGAATCTCAACAGTCTCAGCCGTGTGCTGTGCCAAATATGTCAGGGACGCAGAGCGCGTCTACGATCCGCAGCAAGAGAGGTTGGTCCCCTAGGAAGTCTTCTCGAAAGGCCCAGACAGGCTAAAGGATACTTAGCGCATGCAATTCCGAGGCGCTGGGAAAAGAAATACAAGTTCTTCAGCGAAGCCAAAATGAAGGCTCGCGAGCTCCTGGTGCAATTTGTGCATGTGCCTATCAGCCGGTGGTGTTGTTCAAGTGGCTTGAGGCGACGTACCGTACTTTCGCGCGTGTGGCAGCCTTGATGGTTCGGCCGGCTGTCAAGTGCTCATGCTCTAGTGCGACGTGCAATCTCCCATACGAATGGGCATGAAGTATACAAGCCGAAGCGCAGCATGGGTTTGGAATTTCCAATTGTGCCAATTGAGGCCAGGCACGACCCTTTCAACAAGGATCCGCAAGCATCCAAGTTACTGAATATGTCTTCGCTGCAACATGTCGTTAACACTTCAACCTCCAAGGGCATGGGGAAAATCAGTCCTTTCTCGCTTCGCTACTTTCTGCGGCGAGAGAAACGTGAAACTGGAGGACATCGCCTAATAGTCAGCATGTTGCGTGATGTGTGCAGTAAATGCTCTGTGTTTGCTCACCGACATTGATCTGCTCACTGCTGCATCGGGTAGTTGTGAGCAGCTCAGAGCCACCGTAAGATCCTGCTATGCAGGTAATTGCAAGTTATGTTGGCGGTGAGCCTTCTGCCATTTTGGCCTGTTTGCGCTGTAGCCGGCCCAGCAGCCACTCTATTGATCCATATTGGCCATGAACCGGGCAGACCACAAGTAGCACCAAACTCCAATGGCTACCCCTTGGATGTTCATGAAGTGAGCTTGGTTCTAGGATGTGCCCAGAAAGCCCCAGAGGGATTCTCACACGCAGGACATCTTCCATCATGTTGATGCAGATGGAGCTGCGGTCTGAGAAGCAAATGCAACCCTCTGGCAATAGAATCGACAAGAGCCACAGCTGAGGATTATTCACTGAGCAGACCAGAAGTCAAGCATGCGTTATGCAGGCTGAGCCTGCAAAGCTTTGCTGTTGTGCGGGTAATTGTGTCCCCTTGCAGGGAAAGTTTGCTCAGAAACCATCCAAAATAACACCCAGAGCTGGACAGTTTCCACAACTGCAGCCGCAGCAGTCAGGTAAAGGTCAGCGTTTGGAGGGCTCGGTGACGGGATGTCATCATGGGCCATTTGACCACATTCTTCAGCATTGATACGGTTGGGAAAAACGTTCCTTCGTGTGCACATACCGGAAGAACCCTTCAGTCCAGTAGAGCAGGCGACAGAGAGGTTGTGATAAAGATGGTTCACGCGAAGATGCTGGCTACAAGCACAACACAAAGAAGTCGCAACTTCCTAAGGTCCTGTATGGAGTTGTCTCCAACTTCGTTCTCAGCAAACGCTGGATGTGTGTTGGCACACTTGAGGGTGCAATGGGGGATGTGGCTGGAACGTGAATTGGACGCTTTCAGACCCACCCTGCTGCACAGCTCCTGCTCAGGAGTTTCAAGGCCTCAACATCTCCTATGCTTGCGTGGAGTGCGAGCTTCTCCAGTGCAAGTGTGATGAAGTCATGTGGCCAACAGTCTCCCTCCTCCGCCAGACTCCCTGGGCTTGTTGATAGCAACAGATAGCAACCGCGCACTCCGGGCAACAGAGCCCGCAGGATCCGTGCCTGGCCGCTTCCAGCGTGGCGTTTCTGTTTCCAGCATGGCTAGTTCGTTTCAACATGTTTCAACGATCCCTTGCTTGGATCGAGTTCCCAGGATCCCGCTAGGATCCTCTTTTGCCAGCAAGTGAAAAGATACGGAGGGTAACAACAGCTTGACACGCTTCAGCCACGATGCAACCTAACCACAACCACAACCAATACACAAACAGGCCCAACGCGAGACATGCCACAATCTTGCCGTCCCAAGTAGAGCTGGAGGACTGCATGCGCCCAAACGTCAACTGCATCTTGATACAGCCAAGAAGAAGCCAAGCCCTGCGGGCACGTGAGTCCTCCTATGAGATGACTGTTAGGCGCTTGCCCTACAGTTTGGGCTGTCAACATTGCAAGTCGCTGGCACGTGCAGTGTTTGCCTCACTCAGCAGCACGGACATTTTCGTGCAGAGTACAGGGGCAAGGTTTGTGCTGCAGCCATGCATGAGAAAGTAATCTTGGTTGGATGCACTCATGGATAGACGACGCTGTGGGTTGGACATGGTGGTCTGCGCAGGGTTTGCTTAGTTTTTGGTGAGTGTACTTATGGTTCCTGGGGAATATTGGTAAGTGTACAGAACTTGCGGACCAGCAATGAAGAAACACGGGTCATACTTTCGTATCAGCAATACTTTAGTGCAAGCAAGCTGTAATCGATAGCGGTAAAGGTTGGGGGTGCTGGGGCCAGGGCTGGGGGAATTGGGTATTAGTATGTATTAGTAGAATAGAGGGGACATCGCCGCGGTGGGACCAGCTCCAGCACCTGGGTGAATCTGCGAGCCGATCAGCAATCAACCTGGATCCCACAAACCAAACCTCGAACATGACCGGACTTTTTAACACAAAATCGATCGACCTCAAACCTCGGGTGATATGGGGTCCTTAGTAGTAGAGCCAGATGCTTCGGGCGTGAGGGCTTGGGCAGGGCACATCCAAAACCTGCTGATTCAGGGTGCTGCCGTCCCTTTCGGACCAGGAGGTTGTGGCCATCTTCGATGTAGCTCACACGGCATCTGGCAATTGCGCTATGTATTTCTCACAGCTCGCTCGTCGGGGGTTGACGCACTCAACTACTAGCTGCAGAGAGAGTTGTGCCAAGGCAATCGATGAGGATCACAGTGGTGCGGTGCGAATACCATGTTTCAAGCTTCCTCAGAACCGCTTCAGCGCATGTTTGTCGGGTTGAACCTTTGCTATTGAGCCGGCGTTGTGCTGCCAGGTCAGCGTGCAAGAGTTTCGACAAGCTTTGGAATGGGGTAGGAGAGTCTCTGGCTTATGTGATGTGGCTCGTGGCTGTGGCCTCTATTGGAAGCTTCTAACATGAATCGAGGAGCGCCAAGTTTAGCAAAGAGTCGATCGAACGACACCGGAATCCGTACCGGCCCCAGCTTGGAGCCAGTGCATTTTGCATTCCATGATCTGGCTGTGTTTTACCAGGACCCACCGGATGAAGCGGTTTCCACCTGCAAGAGTTGATGGCTGGGAGCATCTCAGAGATGCTGATAGCGTTTTGGGCCTGGCTAGTCCAGCCAGACGCTACGTGAATTGAGGAGCTGTGTGCAGATCCTGTAAGGTTCAAGGCACAAAGTATGAGAAGGTCGGCCAAGCCAGCAGCTTGCTGGAGATGTGCGAGAAGGAGCTTGGCTGTTTGATTTGTTTCCTGAGTCAAAGTCCACCATGCTTGTCCTCTTCTAGCCACACATTGTGTGAAGAGGGCTGAATGGGATGTTGCTAGATCATGAGGTTTTCAGCTGCATTGTGGACTGAAAGCATTGGCGGTGGGAGGGGAGAAAAGGCAACTCTGATTCTATTCCTAAAGTTTGTGCAGCTACTAGGGTTTCTAGATTCTAGGAAAAACCTAATGCTGTAGCTTCTCTTCAGGCAATCAAGGCGGCCTGGCCATAAGCTTAATCTTGCACCGCAGTATGCCGTAGACACATGGTCACATGAAGTCGACCATCAAATGAAACACTGAGCCTAGGAACAGCTGCATTGCTTCATTTTTTCAGCGGCTAAAATAAATATCCTCAGTTCTACAAGGCGGCACCTGCGTATTCGAGATTCGGTGATGCATGATGATGCATTCTGAAGAAATCTGGGCAACCCCGAGGCAGAGACATTACTGTCTCGTTGATGATACAAAAAACCTGGGTTCAAACACAGCAACTCGGCGCCTGCGTGACGGGGTACCGCTGTGACATCCTTCCCTTCTGCCTCCGCTCTCAACCATCCGGGAGTTATGTTTGGCGTTGCCCTGCCAGGAGACGTCTGAATGCTTAGGCAGACTAGCGAAGACGTACTTGGCTCAGTAGGCGTTCTGGTATGCTGATCAACATGGTGGCGTGTATGCATCGGGCTTTGCCAGGTTAGTCCGCACTCCTCGTGCTCTTCAACACCGAGCCCAGACGCCAAAGTACTTGTATTTCGGGCCGGGCAGCCCGCGGTACTTGCACATCCTTTTCATGCTAACTGTGCCTGAAGATGTGACCACGTAAGCCGTAGCCGTAGCGAGCCGTTTTCAAGCGAATGAGATCCAGCTTGTGACAGCTTGCGACAGCTTGCAGGAGAGTTTGGGAAAATCGCCAGAGTTGTAGATGGAACCGCAGTTGTACATTGTACACAGTACGCAGCTGACGCAGCTGATGTCCCTGGCCAGGGGTGGCGCTGACAGTGATCGCTTCCACAAGCACTCCAGGCACAGTGCCAAGTCCAGGTTTCATTCATCCTTCATCGTTCAATCGAACTTTTTCTGCACGTCTAAGTAGCCTTTCAAGCAAACTTATATCAAGCAATATAGATACAGGAAGGAAAGAGGAGCAATCTCGTCTCCTTTAGGTTCTTTTTACATATAATCCTTTATCATCTAAATCGATCTTTATACAGCAGTATGAGTCTAGGAAATAAAGAAGATCCGCATTGCCCTATGACTCCTTCATTCCTGGTAAAGGCCTCGATAGGGTCCCTAATTCCTCACAACCGCTCTAATTCGTCATTCGTGGCTTCCTCGTTGGCCCCTATTCGAAGCAGTTGCCAGGATGTAGGTAGCCCCCTGGGCTGACTATGTTGTATCAGGGGGACTTTTCGTTAGGGGGCAGGGCTGAAGTCAATCACGGATATCTGTGATATATTGGGGACGGGACTGTCCTGGTTCTTGAGTTTTTGTTTGGACAAGGTTTGATCACCCCGCTGTGCATACCGACACCGTTGATTCTCAGGCCTGCCTCGCAGCCTAGTTGGGATCCTCATCGTAGACATTTGATCCCTCTTAGGTCGAGATACCAGATCCAGGAGGCCGACCGGAGACTTTGTAAGTCATAAGTGATAGCCTTCTTCATCTTCTTGTCTCCTCTTTCTCCTGCACTGGCCAGGCTTTGATCTGCGTCCTGGGTTCTTGTGTCAGCCAGATCCGCCCTCAGTATGAGCTAGATCTGTCCTCTCTGAACATAATGACGACTATTACGTAATTGGGATTGAAACCGGATTCAGAAACTACCCGCGATTCAGAAACTATGATTCAGAAACTATTTGGACCGATTCAGAAACTGCGATTCAGAAACTATTTGGACCGATTCAGAAACTATTTGCACCGATTCAAGAAACCAGGCCGATTCAGAAACTACGCTTCAGAAACTATTTCGTCCGATTCAGAAACTGCGATTCAGAAACTATTTCGTCCGATTCA